TTATTTTAATTGATAATTTCATATCATTTCATATTCATATTTATTGTATTTTATTAAATGAGCACTTACATTAATTAACTTCCATTTATTAATATATTTCATTATATTTATTACTTAAATATTTTATTATTATATATGGACTCTTCTTATTTTTATATGGAAATATTTCATTAAATTTATTTTTATTATTTCTCTTACCATATGCTTTGTAGAATCTCTTTTAATTTCAATTCTTATTCATTTTTTTTCATTTCACAGATTTCATTCTCTTATTCCATTCATAATAATTATTTGCTCTAATTAATTCCAATGCATATTCATCTCTTAATATCATATATTTCATCATCGTGATATTATATATTTTTATATTCTTTATTTATCTTATTTATTCTCATAATGAAAATGATTAAACACTCTGTTTGAAATATATAATTGTGTTTATAGTAATTGAATTCTTATGTTATAAATATATTTATTTGAGAATGTATTATGGTGTTTATAATTATAATGATAAATAGTAAAGTGATTCTGATTTTTATTTCATTGGTACTGGATATAATAGTTATAATATTGACAACATCATTCAAATTTCTTTGTTAATGTAAAATTGGTTTTATGTGATTATCATGATATTCTTGTTATTATAGAAACGTAGATATCTAACAGAATACATAATGATTATCAAAAGAAATATTATAATATAGATAAATGAAATAAAGGGAAAATAAATAAAAGAAATTGATAATTCAATAAAAAAGTTGAATATAAACTATATCTATAAATGCAAATCAAAATACGATATTATGATTTTAAATATAAACTAAATACATATTCAAATTCATGTGTAAATAAATAATAGTGTTGAAAGAATAATTTATTTTATATTAAAGAAAATTAATATTAATTACAAATCAAATAACATTTAATTTGTTTTATAGAATATCATATTTAATTAAAAATATGATTAATAATAAGAATAATATTTATAATTCAATCACTTATTTAATTTCATCATATTTTTTATTTCATAAAAAAGTTGATAATAAATTTAAACATCACTCAGTTATGAAGTAGATAAATGATGATATACTAAATTATCACATTTAGTTGTAATAAAGAATTAATTAGAATATGTATCAACACAATTTAGGATTATACCTTTAATTTAAATAAGTACATATTCTTTTACTCTAAATTTAAATATATTTTATAAATTTTTTATAATATATCAACAATATATATTTAGTACATTAAATTGATCAAAATGGGGGTAATGTTGAGTATAATGTTATTCAGATAATTATTTCTAAATTCTCTTTCGATAACAAACCATTATGTAAATAAGGAATTAATTTTTAATAACATGATAATGCTGAAATTGAATGATGTTTCTTTCAATTTAGAATAAAAAAACACCAAAAAAGAATAAAAATAAAGTTAATGTAAAGAGAAGAAATGAAACAAAACAAATAACATGAGAAAAGAAAACAAAAAGAAAGAATAATAAATTGAAATTGGTAATATGATTGTAATTTTTATTGAATCATAATCATTTAATGATATTTTATGAAATTATGAAAATAAAGGAAACAAAGACAAATAAGTATTTAAACATAAACTCAGAAAGATATATTCATTAAATATGAACACTTTAATTTTACTGTTCATTGGATTTTCATTATCAAAACAATGTACTGAATACAATCAAGGATATGAAATAGATACAGTTGATGGTGCATTTGAATGTATTGAATCAATTGAAACAACAGAAAAAGAAAATGAAGATATTATTAATGGATTAAAAAACTATTTAAATGGTGATGTATTTAAAGATATATTAAAGAATCCACCACAACCATCATTCTCAAATAATTATTATAAGAAAATGGATATTGATGCAGAATTAAATAAAATAAATACAAAAACAACAAGTACGTATGATTTCTATTCTCAGATTAAAAACTTTATTGTTTCAACAAGAGATTCTCATTTAAGTTTTGGTTTAGATTATACTGCTTATAAACCAAATTTAATCCTAAAGGTATTAAGCTATTTCCTTCCTTTTTCAATATATATTAATGATGATAATAAGAAAATGTATTTAAGAACAAAAAGCACTGTAGGTGGTATTCCTATTGATGTTCCACAGGAACTAGTTAATAATGAAAATGTAGCAGTTAAAACCATTAATGGAGAAGATCCATTTAATATTATTCGTAAATTTGGAAAGAAATACATAGGTTTAAGATCTCCACATGCACAATTTGAAAAAGCGTATTCAACATTTGATTTTGCTATACTAGAAGAAATACCATTAACAAAAGAATATTTAAATACACCAATAACTATCACATGGGAAAATGGAGAAAGTGTAAGTGTTAACTATTCTATATTAAAGTTACCACTATCGAGTATATTAATGAAAAGATCACCTCAAGTGGATCAACTGAAACAAAGAAGTAAGCCAAGTTTAACATTAGAAGAAATAAAATCAAGAAATGAAATGATTAAAAGAATGAAAAGAGAACAAGGAAGAAATCAATATTATGCTTCAAATGATGATAGTGTACATTGTCAGTCTTCAGATAATATTAATGTACTTGAGGTTCTTTCATTTAGTCCTGAAAAAAGCTATATAAAATCATATGAAGAAACAGTTTCAAAATGTATTGATTTATTTGACTCTAATGATTATCCAATTCAGGTCGTATTCTCAGCGAATGATGAAGAAAAATCAATTTATTCACAATGGATAGAAAAGATATTATCACCATATGATGATGTTGATATGATTGTTTCTGGGAGAATATCAAATTTTACAGAAAGTATAATGAAAAGAGAATATGGAAATATTTTATATGACCCACACACATGTAAAGTAAGAGAAAGTTATGTAAGTCCAGAAGTACTTGGAGAGTGGTATACAAATCCAAATATTATTAATTATGGTGATATTGAACATAAAGTTTCACAACCTTCAGTTATGAAATGGGAACAAATGAAATTAATGAGAAAACCAAGAAAACCAACAGAAATAGTAGTTTATACAGATCCTCTTTGTTATTCTGGTTGTTCGACATTAGCAAAAGGATTAAAAGAATGGGGAAGTGCTATTATTGTAGGATATGGTGGTGACCTATATGGTACAGATGAAGAATTTGAAGTAGGATTATCATCAAGTAATGCTATTTATGTTAGTGATATAGATAAAGATAATATTTTAAAACAATATGGATATAATCTTAAAATAAGTCTTTTAGAAAGATACAAACATAATTATAATTACAACGAGAATATTCCTAGTGAATTTCTAACAGATATTGTTGATGAAAGAATACATGTTAGTAGCAGTGTCTATAATAGAGACGAAATAATAAAAGAAGAAACAAAGAAGATAGTTGAAAAGTATAAAACAAAATGTAATCCAAAGAATAAAAGATTAGTTAAAAGAGATAGTAGATGTGATAAAGAAATTAATATAGAACATGGACATGGAGGATATGAATGTGGAGATAATGGAGAATGGAGTACAAAATGTGTACTAGCCTATTGTGATTCAGGATATAAATTTGATTATATCAATAATAATTGCATTGAAGATGTATGTGTTTATCCACCAAATCCAAGTAATGGAACACCACGAATGACAATAAGCATAGTCCTAATAATAATTGGAATAATCACATTAATTATCTAATTGAAGAAAGATTAATTTAATATTTAATTTTGTTTAATAAAATAAATAATAATAAATAAAGGTGTAAAGAAGCAAAGAGATAGTTTGAATATCTAAATATAATTTTTAAATAAAAACAAGTTAATTAAGTATGGATTGAATTATCTTCTATTGTTCTTTGTTTTTTTAAGTTTAATACCATCAATATTAGTTAGTGTCTCTACAAAATATTATATTATTATAGAAACAATGTTCTATGATATCCATCATGTTTTAATTACAATGTTTTTTGAATTATTTGATCTTTTCATTTTTAATTCTTTTATTAATTTAATCTTCTCTTCATTCAATAACACATTGATAGAAATTACTGTTTGGATTAGTGTTTATTACTTTTATTATAATTTCTATTTACAAATTATTCTAGATCAACACTTCATTCATTATTCTATTTCTTTATTCTATGTAGTTTCATTTCTTATTGTTTGTTTATTATGTATTATTTATATTCACTTTCTTATTCTTTATTTTTTTCATTCTTCTGGTTTTATTTATTTTCATACAAATATTGATATTATCATTATCATTCTTGTGTATTTATTATCAGTGCCTTTTTCTCTATTTCTTTCATTGTTAAATTTCTTTTATTAATGAATTGGTATCATTTTGTATTGTTATTCTTGTTGTGTGTTATTTATCTTTTTCTACCTTTCTTATTGTTATTTCATCTTATTATTATATTAGTGTTTGTTTTGATTTATCTCTTCCTTTTTTCTCTGTCTTTATATTATCACAATTATCAGAATGATTTAAAATGATATCATTATTTATTATTTCTCTAACATTTCTAATTTCTCTTTCTTTTATTTTAATTTATTATTAATTATCATCATTTATTTCTCATTATTTGATTGTTCTTTTTATTTGTATTTCATTTATATTTCATTTTCATTTATATCATTATTATATGAATTATCATTAATTATGATGAAATGTTTTGTTATTTTTTATTTTTTATTATATTCTTATTTTCTTAGTTATTATTGTTATTTAAAACAATAAAAATGAAATGACATTTATTAAAATGATAAAATAATAAATAAAATGATGTATTATAAACGTGTATTTAAGTATTTAATCATCTGATTTTGATCTGATATTAATTAAATTAAAATGGAAGAGTTAATAAACAAGAACACTCATTTCTTTAAAGAAGAAATAGAAACAATTCCAAATATTCAACAATCAATTGATGATACTACTAAACAGTATCAATATTATTTAGGAAGTATTAAAAATGAAATATTTAAAATACAAGACAATGAAACATATTCAGAAGCTATTAAAAGAGGAGAAGGGATATTTGATAGGATTGATGAAACAGAAAGAAGAAGAAAACTAATAATAGAAAAAAGTCAAACAAATAATCAAATAGAAATAATAAAGAACCAAATGAACAAAATAATAGAAGAATGTAATGATGATGAAGAAACACTAGGTAAAACACGGAATGAAATAATTAATAAAATCATTTCAATTGAAGAAATGAACATGAAAGATAAAATATTCAGAACACCAAAAGAAAAATATAAAATCACAGAAGAATTTAAAAAAAGAAAGAAGAATTGAAAACATATTATAGTGATTATTTTGAGAGGAAGAAGAAAAAAAAAAGAAGAAAGAAACAAGAAGGAGAAAGATTAAGAATAATGAAAGGAATGAATACAATTGAAGAAATGAAACAAATAGAAGAATGGACAAATAGAAAAGTATTCAATATACTATTTGATTCAGATATTGATGATTGGAATATTGATACATCAGTATTTGATCAAAAAATAATAAATAAAGAACATATAATAATTATTATTGAAGATACAAATGGAAATAAATTTGGAGGATAAGTTAATGTGAAAATTGATAAATTTGGTAGTTATATAAAAGATTCAAAATCATTTTTATTTTCATTAAAATCAAAAGGAAGAATAAAAGGAATGATAAAATTTGATATTAAAGAACAACAATATGCATTTTATTTAAATAACAATCAGATAATTGTTTGTTTGAATTTGGAAAATTCTTGTTTTTAAAGAAAATAATAAAACACAGTCATATTGTGATCAATGTGTATTTGAATATAAAGGAATATCAAAAGCACTTTGTGGAAAAGAAGAAGACTTCTCACCACAACGAATTATTGTAATTGAAATGAAATGATTTTTATTCATTATTGTTTATTTGAAATAAGAATAAAAAACTGATTTAAATTAAACAACAACTAATCAAACAATAGTTAAAATGAAAAAAGAAAAGGTTTGAGAAGAATAAACAGAGATTGAGAGTGTTAATTATTGTAAAGAAGAAATATGCAAAGGATTGAGTTAAATCAGAAACCATTCATAATTACCATCAAATAAGTCATGATTAATAAAAGAACTACTAAACACTCTGATCAAAACCATTAATAATCAAAATAACATGTTTAAATAACACTTTAAAAAGAAAGGAATTGGAGATAGAATGTGTAGATGTAAATAAGTTGTAAGAAAGAGAAAACAATGAAAAATAAAATATATAACGTTTGAAATTCAGAGTAAATAACCAAGATAATAGAAGTCAATAAAAAAGAATTTGATTGTGACATTTAAATAAGCTTAATAATGATAGATGAACACTCAAGATAATAAGTAAACCACTCAAGCATAATTAGATTTAATGTCACAAGAATGTGTAAAGAAAATATGTGTATTGATAAAAGGAATTGAATAATACACAATAAGTGGGTAAATAAGGAAATAGTAAGCACAGTAAATGAAAGAATTAAAATGAGAAGTGATGAATAATGATTTAGAACGATAAATAAGAAAGAATGTATTAAATAGAGAGATTAATACGAAGAGAGTGTATGAAATAGGAATGATAGAAGAATTGAATATTAATAATAGAAGAATTGAATAAAATGATAAATAAACTGAGATAACGTTAGTAAACATAGTGCAACATTTATATATTGGTATTTGTTTGTTAATTGTATGTTATTTATATTCTAATTAACCATTTTTAAATTAATTCAGAAAGACTCTTTCTCAATTCAAAGAATTCATCAAATTGTATTGATGTTGTTGAACAATGTTCTTAATGTTGTAAAGAAAATTAAACGAGATATAACTATTCAAGAAAATACAAGAGAATGAACGTCAATAGAAATAGAATATATAAAAATAGTGAACGAAATAACAACGAAAATAGAGAATAAGAAGAAAGAAATAAAAAGGCAATAATCAAACCAACAAAATGAATACAAGTTGTAAAGCTATAAGAACAATAAGTATGAAAGAAATAAAAAAGTACAAGAAAAAGAAGACATTAATAAACAATACAATTTATCAACAAACTAGAATAAGATATTAAAACCAAGAAAGAAATACGAAATAAAGTAAAGAAGAGGATATGATAAAATAATTCAGTATAATTTCAAGAACAACAGTAAATTGAATAATTAATAACGAACAGGAAAGAATTCTAAAAGAGCATTGAGTCATAAAGTTCTTGGTGAATAAATATCAGAGATATAATGACTATAAACATAAAATATTCAGTGAAATATTGACGAAACAATGTAAAAAAGATATGGAAATACCTCATAAACAAGATTTCATGAGAATAAAGGGTGAGATGTAATTTCACTTGAAGATATATCCAAATTTAATTTATTCATTTTTAATTATCAAATCAACCAATTCATTGTTTTTTTATTATTTCTTCTTTCTTTACTTTTTCAATTACCACTTCATTTGTTTCTTCTGTTCTATTTCAAAAAATTATCGTTTTGTAAATTGAATTAACCAGTTCACTTAAACTATAACACATCCATCATAATACAACTTTTTAAGCACTTTATTCCTCTTTAACTCTTCTGGACATCCCAAAAAACATCTTTCCTCAATGTTTGTGACTGATGTTGGTACGTCAATTTGTGTTAATGATGAACAATTTTTAAAGCACTCTTTTACTAATTCATGAACAGACGTTGGTATGTTAATACTTTTTAATGACGTACATCCTTCAAAGCACCATTCTCCTATTTGACTAATTGATGATGGCAATGTGATTGTCCTTAATGACAAACAATTTTTAAAACAGCCAGGTCCTAGTTTGCTGACTGAAGTAGGTATAGTAATTGATGTCAACGACGAACACTCTTCAAAGCACCAATCTCCTATTTGACTAATTGATGATGGAATATTGATTGATCTTAATGATAAACAATTTTTAAAACAACCTGTTTCTATTTCATTAATTGTTGATGGTATATTAATACTTGTTAATGATAAACAGTCTTCAAAACACCATTCTTTTAATTTACTGATTGATGTTGAAAGAGTGATTGAACTTAATGACAAACAACTTTTAAAACAACCACATCCTATTACATTAACTGTGGTTGGAATATCAATTCTTGTTAATGACGTACATCCTTTAAAATACCAATTTCCTAATTCATTAATTGATGTAGGGATGCTCACTGATTTTAATGATTTATATTTTTGATAATGTTCTTCTATTTTCTTGACTCTTGTTGTTATTGTGATTGCTGTTAATGACATACATCCATTAAACCAACACCAACTTTCTGTTTGATTTACTGATGTAGATATGTTAATTGATGTTAATGAAGTACAACCACTAAAACAAGTAGTTTCTAATTCACTAATTGTTGATGGTATGTCAATTGATGATAATGATGAACAATTTCGAAAACTAGTTTCTTCTATTTTATTAATTGATGGATGGTAAAGTGATTGATGTTAAAGATGTACATCCACAAAAACAATTGATAGGTATTACACTAATTGATGTTGGTATTTCAATGTTCCTTAATGATTTACATCCATTAAAACAATTAATTGGTAATATGCTAATAGATGTTGGTATTTCAATACTTCTTAATGATGAACATTCACTAAAACAATTATTTCCAAGTTCTTTAATTGAAGTAGGTATATTAATTTTCTTTAGGTTGTAACAGTTCTTAAAACATTCATTTCCTATTGATGTAATTGATGTTGGGAATTTAATATACACAAGTGATGTACATTCACGAAAACATTCATACTTTATTTTATTAATTGATGATGGTATATTAATTGTCACTAATGATGAACATCCTTTAAAACTTCCATTTCCTATTTCAGTAACTGTTGTTGGTATATTAATTGATGTTAGTCTTGTACATTCTTTAAAACAATTCTCTCCTATCCACTCAATAGTTGTTGGTATATCAATCTCAACAAGATCATTACTTCCTTCAAAACATTCATCATCAATTCCATTATATTTTTCTAGTTGTGATAAACAATTTTGTTTTCTCTCTTCACTTGTAAATATCGTACTCATTGATATTTTGTAGTTACATTTATTATCTTAAAACGTTAATGAATGACAGATTGAACCCTTCTTTATTCTTCTAATGATGTTTATTATTTTTTATCATTCCATTTTCATATAAACAATCAAAATAACATAAATATTGAGAATGTTATTTATATTTGTGTTATATTATAATAGGAATTTTATTATTTTGTGAAATTTAACATTTCTTTTAATATATTCCTTTTGTTGTTGTTCATCAATTTCAATTTTAATACTATCAGTTATAATAAGTGAAGTAAAATGGAGATTGAAGTAGGATGAAATCGAGAAATAAATAAAATTAATAGAATATTTTCTTTTTTATATTTAGTTTGTTTTGTTCTTAGTAATGAACATTTGAATATTTCAATTTCATTTTAATAAATCAAATGGTTGTTTAGTTTTATCAATTCTCAATTTATGTTTTTATTCATTAAACATAAAATTCATCTTCTAAAGAACCAATGAATAAATGAAATTGAATTATGTTTTGTCATTAATATTGATTCATTAAATATGAAATATAATGACAATATTAATAAATGGATTAATTACCATTTATAATATCTTCTTGATTTATAAATTTAATTTTAAAATCAGATGATAAACAACCAATGATATTTATAAAGAAACTGATACTAATTATAATGTTTCT